GATGGTTAATGTATCCTCCTTGTGTAACACACAACAAAATCGTCCTTTAACATATCTAATTCGCTTGAAATTTACTAATGTTTTCCATTTGTACTTCTTGCCATTGTTGTTGATTTTCCTGTAGTTGCTGCTGACTTTCCTGCAATTGTTGGATACTTTCTTCCTGTTTCTTTTCTTTTCCTCCAGCAACTGCTGTAATCTCTCTTGTTTATTTTGCTGTTATAGCTGCCATTGTTGTAGGTTTTCTTGCCACTGCTGTAATCTTTCTTCTTGTTTCTTTTCTTTTTCCTCCAACAACTGTTGTAATTTCTCTTCTCGTTCTTCTTGTTTCTTTTCTTTTTCCTCCAACAATTGTTGTAATTTCTCTTCTTGTTTCTTTTGCTGTTCTTGTATTGCTGCCATCAAGTCTGCTAGGCTGTAGTTTGATTTGCCACTTCTCATTTCCATTTTTTGTTTTTCTATCCCACTTCTGACACCAATTTGTTACGCCTCCAGTCGTTACTTAATTTTCCGTAAATTCGTTCCAACGAAACTTTAGCGACACAATTCCTTTCTTAAATAAAACTGGTTTATTCTTTCCGAATACAACTTTACCGATACACTTAATTTCAACAGTCGCTCTATAACAACCGCTAGAACGTCTCACGTGCTCGTGCTCGACAATACTCAATTACACTCTCTTTGACTGCAGTTCAATTACTCATTACCTACATGTTGTGACTATCTTATATATATACCAGACTACCCCCAATCCAGTAATCTCCCGACAATTCACGAAGGTTCGAGAAAGAAGTGGCGTGATACTAGTCACGTGACCTCGCTGACGCAACAATACTATCATATTTACAATGTTAATAACTTGCATAAAAGTAAAACTTATATCATGTAGAATTTGTCTGTATAATAAAAATTTAAATCTGAATATTTGTTTTAAATCCGTGTAGGTAACATTAAACAACTTTTATTATTATTTTTTGTTGTTGTTGATTGTGAACCGTGAAGAATTTACAGTCCGAAGAAGTCCAAATGTGTCCAATCTTTCCACAGATTACCTTATAGTGCTGGATTAATTGTTGAGCTACTAAGTTGGTTAGTTCACTTGTTATTTCAGTTTTGCTAATATTGAGTTTGTAATTCAACAAAGTAGTAAAGACACGAAAAATTGCTGTATATACGAGAGACAATTAGCGAGTGAAATTATTGTTAGCTTTTTCTGTACTACTGAGAACTTAGGCCTATCATTGAACGTTTGTTAACTTTTAAAACTTAACTGGTAGTTCAAATAATAAAACGTTTTCGTTATTATTAAGTGGTCTGAAATTTGCAGTTTTCTTTTAATGAAATAAATGGAAAAGAATCCGAAAATCAGAAACCTTTAAAACAATATTTAGCTACAATCTAAGAAATACGAAATTCTGAATTGTCAAATAGTCGCCTGTCAATCTCATCATATTCTGGTAACTATTTAACAATAGTGTAGTTTTTGAATGTAAATAGGTATGTAATGACTTAAAAAATATTTTAAATATCGAACAAAATTAGAAATATTTTTGAGAAAATAGCTTAGTTACGATTACCTTCGATAGATGTCACTAGTGTATAGTACCATACATCAGTCCATCAAGTGGTTGATTCAAGCTAATTACTACAAGCAATTACGTGTATTTATCTTAATAACAGAACATTTTCAACTCCATCGTTTTAAATATGCTAATAATTAAAAGAAGGAAAGTGGTTCAAGTCTTAATGATTTACCGATAAACAGCGTATACCTGGATTAAAAAACAACTGCTTATGAATTATGTATACAGCTTAATAAGAATAAAGATCCGACAAAGTAATCATATATTCATCGCTGTAGTGTTTAAATGCTGTGACATAATATGTCGTAAGAAGATTAAAATTACAATTTATACATAATATTTCAGCAATTAGGTCGAAGAATATCACCATTGCTTTTACACAACTTTCGGCGACATTAAAAAATCTCAGTGAAGAGCCATACTAATACATATAAATATATATATTTAAAAAAAATGCCATATCGGAAAATTTCAGACTATTTTTCCAAATCTGAATGTACCTCCAACTCATCAATATCAACTTCAATCAACAAGTTCGAGCACGAGATACACATGCTTTCCAGCTAGAACTTTAATAATAAACATTCAGCTTAGTTGCATAAGGTAAATACGTAAGACAAGTTACATACCTGACTGCTATAATAGCCGTAATTAACTAGACAACTAGGTAATACAAAATATTTGTATCGGAAAATAGCATCGAGATCGATGAGCGAAAAACCATATATTCAGTGGAGTACTTGAAAGATCATCAAACATAATGGTTGGAGACCGCTTGAATGGGTAATGAAGAAAAACATTAATATAAGTTTAACATAACAGCAAATCAGGTTGTACCTGATGATGACAAAACCTTGTCGAAACGTTGTACATTTACTGTTATGTTAAACTTATATTAAAGTTTTTCTTCATTACCCATTCAAGCTGTCTCCAACCATTATTAGTCTCAAAGTGGGTTCTTCGTCATCGAATCATAAAACATAATAGCTAACCAAGCCCATAACGACAGGGGCAGAGAGGATCAGGAGAACACAATCAGTAGAATATAAAGTTACATATTAATCGATAAATCCAGTCCAATTCTACGAGACAAGTACTCGAATGTTCATACAGTAAAAATTATGCTGTGCTGTGTGCCACAGTCGTAGTGATGTACAGCCACATCCAAGCTTGTGAAGGCTTTGGGGGAGGGGGGAGTAGAGACGTATAACAGCTGGTCTTCAAAACTACTCACTTTCGTTTTCTTTATAACTTTGTAAGTCTTTGATTTATATTTTTGCATAAATTAGTATGTATAAAGTTATAACGCTAAAAGTTGTTAAAGCATTGCAAAAAAGAAAAACAGTAATGCCGTCAGCTTAGAACATGAGCACTAACATTCATAATGATATACCTACAGATGGTTGAGTTTATTACACAAAAACGGTTTTTGGAGTATCACCAAATGTAAAGAGTAGCGCCCAGGTTGGCTTAATTGTTGGAGTTTCAATTAAAACTACTCCTTAGACCAAATTTATTTATTGGAGGATTTGTAGTGACTAGTGGAGCAACAAGTCGCTAACCAGAGGTAGTTTACAGTTAGACTAAAGAATTAGAGTCTCAGGCCAATAGTGAACACTTATAATAACATTTATTAAACATTTAACAAGTTCACAAAAAACATAACTTTGTTATGTAAAACT